GAAAAAGAAACTATTTTATCAAACCAGAAAAAGAGATTTTTTTATTATTTCTTGAAACAAAATCTGATGACTGGACAATGAGAAGAAAAAAATTTTCTATAATAAATGTTCAAAAACGTTTCTACCAACTTCCATACAATGGTACAAACGAGCTTCAATTGCCGCCCTCACATGGTTGAGAATCTCGAAAGTTATTCCCTGCAATGCCTGATGATAATCTCTTTCAAATCTTCTAATGTTGTTGATCCTATCTCATACACTTTAGACTTCAAATGACTTCCATAAAAAAATGTACAGGAGTGATATCCAGAGACCTTGGTGGCCATTCTGAAGGACTTTTCTGCCAATCCACCGACCACGAAAATGATCATCCAAAAGTTGTCGCACATGAGGTACATAATGAGGAGGTGCACCATCTTGCTGAAAAACTATTTCGTTTTCGAATAAATTTATTTCCTCCTCAATTGCCCTATTGACGCACGGTATCAGTCGATTCTCCAATATATCCAAATATTTATCACTAGTCAAATTATCATCGATAAAAAAAGGTCCTATGATGTGGTTATCTGAAATTCCTGCTCAAACATTCTGTTTTTGAGGTCGTTGGGTATGAACTTGATGGTATAAATGAGGATTCGTATCACTTCAATATCGACAATTTAGCCGATTTACCTCTCCATTCAAACTAAACGTACATTTGTACTTATGAAGGATCCTGAAAACATTCGTACGACTGATTTCTGATTCTCGAGATAACTTTGTAAGAGATTGCGAATTTTCCATTAGTCCAACGTGCCCTAAAACTGCAGTACAAATTGCATCATCGTTAACAACTCCTAAACGGCTATGCTTTTTCATGTTAACAGATCCACCTTTCATGAATTTGTTCAATAATTCCGAAACGTATTTGTGTCGTTCATTTCTTCCTGGATGATTATATCATTGAATATACGGGCAGCAGCTCTAGCACTATTTCAATTCTGGTAGTACAAACTCACTATTTCAATCCGTTTTTGAAGCGTATAAACCATTGCTCCTCAAACAGAAACACTAATTGTAACTTCGCCTGGTAGGTAATCGTTATTGTAGAATGAGACAAATACAAAATGAAGAGAATATCGAATTCAAACTTAGCAAAGCAGAATAGAACTTTTTTTGAAGTATACTTCACAAAAACACCTATGAAACCTAGGTAACGGATTGTACAGAAGTTCATTCAGGATGATTCGTTTTCAACTCCGAACCATAAGCTTCAGACCATATGTTTTATACTTTGTTGAAATCTGCCCATCTTGGAGCTTCCGGTAATGCGAAACAATATAGGGTGTTCCATAAAAAAAAAAAAGGTGACATGCTCTAAGCGTGCGATAGGGAAAGTAACATCAAATGTGAGTGACAAAATGTGTCACCGTATATACTATTGTTGACGTGTTTTTTATTTTTCCTGAAAATCATTGTACCAAAAGTTATTAAGTGTAGCTCGTTTTAAATTGAATGCACTGTATATTAGGTAGTCAAGTGACTTGAATTTGAAGTTATTATTGTATTGTTCACTGTCTATTAGTTTTTATGTTGCTGGTTTGAGCTTGAGAATTTAAAGATAATAGTAGGAATTCAGGTATTATCTGATTCTCGGCATATTGCTGGGGAATAAAGTCATATATCTATCTATTTGTTGTCCTGAAACAAAAACTGTTCAACGTTCGCAGAATACACTTGTCTACATTTCACTCAATTACCTAACATGTCAGATATATTATAATGATTAATTTTTGAAAATTTCGGTTGAACAGGTTTGGTGAATTTTCTGATTGATTCGGCCGTTACTTGATGAAGATCCATAGTAATTTCAAAAACTGCACCTCACGATTTCATCTCCACAAACTTTATTTGAAAAAATATAATCACATGCTTCGCTAGCACAGTGGCTTTCTCAAGTGTACACTTGCTAGCCAAGCATGTTTTGATTACATTTTTTCAAATGAAGTTTGTGGAGATGAAATCGTGAGGTGTAGTTTTTGAAATCTCTAATGAATTTGATTGATGTATGACTCATCATTGTCATTAATAGGAATAATCAACAAAACATCTAAAAAAAATTAAAAATATGCTACACTCATATGGTATCATATGGTATCAGTTCCTTGTGGAACACTAATTTTGGAACACAAACAATTTTGAAATTGTTCACAGCGATTCACAAGGATTTGTCAGAAAATTAATAGTTTATAATAATCGTTTACAGTGCTCGAATATACCTGAGATACCCATCGAAAAATTCCTTGGCATTCTGGAGTAGGCCCTGCGCGAGAAATGTCGATGAAATTCTCTCCGCAGCTGTCGGATAGTTCTAATTGATGGTAGCAAAAAGGCCTAGTCATGCACAGAAGGTTGAAGTTTCACACCTACCCATCGTAATCTAGCTTGCCGTAGTCGTACTATACATAACCTGTACCGGCATTCCGGTAATTATTTAGATTCGATGAGAGATAGCGGTCGAATGAAAATGTAGAAAAAAAATGAGACGTCGTGAAGAGCTCGGACAGGGATTGCATTGTGCAAAAATAAATAATCATTTTGAACGAATTCCTGAAGAAATAATTATTTCGCCTGGACTCCAGGATATGAAGATTTGGGTTAGACAGAATCAAAATAATAGTGAAAGGAATGAAATGATTTGATTTTTGGTATAAAAAAATGTGTTAACTGTTATCCGTTTGGCCTATTCCTCGTAAATCTTGAAAGAAGTTGAGGTCCTCTATAACAAACAAAGAGACGGTTTGTACAAATTGAAATGATTGAAATATATCCCGAAGATTTAAAAGTTCCAGCATATGTGATTTACTGGCTAGAAATATTATCAAACAAAAAAAGTATCCAGTATATATTTCCAGAACCAATTTTGATTTTTTTTTCATTCATTTCACAAACTTTCAACTTTCATTTGGTTTCACCTGTCACGGTGTCTGTAATCAAATCAAGTTGAACTTGACCCTCTTTCCACTATCGTCATAATGCACGATTTCCTATATGCAGCCATGTGCCATTCAATATAACGGACATTACAAAATGATGATTGATCATTTTCACGGTAACCCGTATGAGATGAATATCGACTGAATACAACAAAGTGACGTCTCTCTAAATTCAATGGTGGACCGACTAAGATGGCGAAGTAGTTATTTTTTATGCACACCCATGAATCGGGTAGTGAATGAAAGGAGGAAGTTCATCGTCTATAATTCAGTTCGTTTTATTCATGTATGCAAACCGAAAATCTACTGTACTGAACAGACTAAGAACAATACTCCTTTGATAAATTATTATAAGAAAAATTTTCAGAAACAAGATTTTATTTACATTCTCTAAAGTGAAGAAAATAAACTTTAAATTATCAAAGTCATCAATTGATCATACTAAACAATTTATGTTAAATAGTTAGAGCTTTATTAGTCTATAAAATATAGAGTTATCTTTGCACCAGAAAAACCGAAGGATCTCTACCTTCATTCACAATGTCTAGTTTTGCTACCACTCTAATGAAATGGATAACAATGTTTCAACAACTTGAACTTCAAAACTATGAAACAGGCTATGAGAAATGTGTCAGAGTATGTTGGTCAGAATAAATTACATATCGAAACTCATTGCAAAGTACACGCGACACCTATCTGACGTAGAACACTTAAATTATTCAACAAACTTCCATATAATGTGACTGAATTGAATTTTAATTTGTTAAAAAAAATCAAAGAGTACCTTATACGAAATGGATTTTATTCTGTACATGATTTCATGAAATGTACATACTCAGACTAAATAGCCTTAATTTTTTACATTACTATTTTTATATTTAAGAATCTTTTCTTATAATTCTTTTCTTTATTTGTTAACTATTTTGTAAATTATTTTCAAAATTAATATTTAATGCTGTTTTTATATTGTTCTCTATATTTGCACAGTAATTTGTACCAACTGATTAAATAAAAAATCTATCTATCTACTTATCTATTTGAAACAATTTTCCCACACTAGAACAAAAGTACCTACTGTCTCTCGATCCAAGTTTCGCAATCCAAGGTAGCATCATCAAGATATATCTAAAACTAAATCTTACATCTATAGAAGTGTTTTATATTCTTCTGCACATCTCCTCATTGAATTGATTTTCAATATGTCATTGTGTTATTTTGTTATTGTATTTTAGTTCCTAATGTATGCCTCAATGAATACCAACTAATATTTACTTGGTTTCTATTGGTAATATTATGTGAGAGAGTAAACAGGGATTGCTTAGAATAGAACCGTTATAGTTGTTCATATAGACCCCATTCCACATTTTTCCATTTCTAAACTTTCAAAGGCCTCTAAATTTTTTTTCTTATATGGGTCTCAACAACGTCAAACATTTAAATTGAAAAGGAATAAAATTTTTGAAAAAGAAATGTATGAATAGAAAGAAATCCAAATAGCTTTTTGACCAATTTCAAGCATTTCTCACTTATTCTGTTGCTGTTCTAAAAGGCATTTTGAGCCATACTAGACTTTTATGGTCTATAAAACCGAATATACGAAGCGTGTTTCTTGTATCTAGTCATCATGGTCCTCTCAACTTGAACAAAATACTTTTTGTTGCAATTCTCACAGCTTATTTTATATATTGGTCACACTAAGAAGACTATAATAACTCGTTTTCAAGGGACGTAAGTATTTCACGCATATGTGATATAATCGACAAGAAAGTATGGTCATATAATATTTGGAAGTGAGTGGGTCTATTCGACCCTCTACCGCAACCCGCAAGGGTTTACAGTGGCTTAGACCCGCACATAACTACGAGCTTTGAGATACCTTTGGAAGTTTATAAATCTTAAAATATGAAATGAGATTTATAGCAGGGGAGCCCACGATGCAAAATGGGGATTTACTCGAGCGTCATTGAGACATATTAGGTTGCACAGCTTAGATGATAAGAAGAAAGAAATGTTATATATCAACTTCATTCTATTTTCCGACGAATCACGGTTTACAAATAATGGCATGTTTAATAAGCAGAATTGTCGGTACTGGACCCAACAAAATCAACATGCAATGAGAGAGGGCAATTTTCAAGAAAGGTTTGGCGTCAATGTCTGGGCTGGTATCGTTGGAAACAGAATAATTGGTCCAATATTGTTTCAAGGTCAGTTAACAGGGGTTAGATACTTGGGTTTTCTTCNGCAATTTTCAAGAAAGGTTTGGCGTCAATGTCTGGGCTGGTATCGTTGGAAACAGAATAATTGGTCCAATATTGTTTCAAGGTCAGTTAACAGGGGTTAGATACTTGGGTTTTCTTCAAAATGAAATCGAGGATCATCTTAATGATATGCCTTTAGAAGTTTTACGGCAAATTTACTTCCAGCAAGATGGAGCACCGCCCCATAATAGCAGAGACGTACTTGATTTTTTAATAGAGCATTTTAATAATAGAGTTATTGCAACCAACGGTCCAGTACGGTGGCCTGCCCGCTCACCGGATCTGACTGTGTTAGATTTCTTCATTTGGGGATATGTAAAAGAAAGGGTCTACTATGCAACAGCCCCAGCCACTCTCGAAATCTTAGAAGAAAGGATTCAACAGGCATTTAGAAGTATATCGCCTCAAATGTTACAAAACGTGTTGAGAGAAACAATTGAACGAGCTGAAATGTGTCTTGAACAAGGAGGGATGCACTTTGAAAATTTACTATAGTGGAATTTTCAAGAACTTAGGATATTGCAAAAAATCTAAGTGCATCGCTGAAATTATTAGTTAAATTTGTTAAATTTGTTGATCCAATCGCAAATAAATTAGTAACGTTAGATTCGTCAAAAAATCCTTTTTTCGGAAATTGCTTGTCAAAAAATGGTCGCCATTTGAAAAATAATAGTTAGACACGAAAATGTTATTTTGTAAACTTGTCTCATTCATATTCAACACACTAGTCACTAAAACTCCGCTATTGCAATTTTCTGATATCACCTGAGGTCCATAGATTAGTTTACGTCCGATCATGGCCACCTAGATGCAATTTTAAAAGTGACTCTGAAAAAATCAAGTAGGCTGAAAAACTTCCGGAAATGTCAGTTTCTGATCCAGAATTGTCTCAGAAATCCAAAAATGTTACAATATACAGGGTGTTCCATTTAAAAATTCAGAACCGGAGCCATTTCCGCTGAAACCGGAAGTGACCGGAAAGTGAAAAATATGTGAAAACATTCCTCTCCACATACCATTCAACTATACCAAATCTCATTTTAATTTTTTTGATAGTCTAGAAATTATGACTTGTCTAATAGATTCGTTGACACCCGGTATATCTACGGAAAATTTTAGTATACTTATGAGACTCTACACAAATGCACAAAAATTTACTTTTGCCGTCCACAAAAAAAAATTTACGTATCTTTCTCACACAGTATGAGAGTGAACAGAAGTGACCTTAGGATGAAGATATTGCTTTCGCAATCCTTCGATTTTGTTCGATAAACTCTTTCGTTCGTTCAATTTTCCAATATGGGTGCTGTGACGACCAACCCGTGAGACAACCATACCCGGTCTCCCTTAAGTGCTTTTTATAAAATCGACTTATCGTGAGTCTTATGCAACATGCTTCGGCTCACAAAATTCCTTTGCCATGCAAAATTTTAGACAAATCATTTGTTCGATATTTTTATCCATAGCAGAAATCGCAAAACACGTTTGAGGTTTATCAACGAAGTGAGTACTATAAAGATTTAACACCTGGATGGCAAGAAGATTTATGGACTTCTGGCAGAATATTCCAGAATTGGCTCACTCCAAGGCGTTTATTCACCCTTCGAAGCTTCTTACCAAACAGTTGTTGGGCTACAGTAGGGATGAATTACGATGTCTGACAGGCCTTCTTACAGGACACTGTCATTTGAATCATCATATGCAGATACTTGGACTGTCGGAAGACAGTGTGTGTCGCCTCTGTTTGGAAAATGATGAAACAGCAGAGCACATACTTTGTGCCTGCCCTGCTGGGGACCGAATTACGTTTTTAGAGTTCGGCAGAGCCGTACTCTTAACATTTGATCTGAAAGAACACTTACCATACAAACTGATTGACTTCGTTAAGAAACCGGGTTTATTTGGTCGAGTGTGAATAGGTGTAAGCCACAATAAACTCTTGAGGGTTGCGGTGCAGGGTCGAACAGACCCACTCACTTTGGACCTAACCTAATTCTTAACCAACCGAATGACGGATGTCGATCAATCTCCGCGTGAATTTCGAACACAGTTGTACCAACCCAGCTACAAAAATAATTTCGACAACCCCTTCAAGCGGGCTTTTTGAATTATCAATTCCAGTTTGATCCAGTCATTTCAGTAAAATTCGGTAAGAATCTCGGAATATGAGATACCTCGCTTTAAACTCGTATAAACTTGTATTTTGACATTCTTAAAGTTTTATCGAAACCTATATGGTAGGGTGTACGTGGCTTTCGAAATCTAAGTTCAAAGGTCACAATAATCGACTTTTTGCACATTTTTCGCCAATATCTTGTTTTCTATGAGTTTTTCGCTGTTTATCAATATTGTACAGGATTACCTGACTTACAACTCTTGTTCCGAAAATTTTTTCATATGTCATATCAAATTGTTTTCGAGATAGGGGGAGGAGAGCATCATTTGAGGTCAACCGATAGTTCCGATCAAAACCATGCCGTATAAAGTTTATTAATTATTCATCAATACATTGTATATGGTGGAAAAGATACCTATTATTTTAGATGAATATTTTAAGTACTCACAAACGTATTACAGTCCAAAAATTATTGTGATGGATATTCAGATTACATTAAGAACATTAAAGTAATGGAACAGCTGAGAAGAACTGCTGCAATTTCAAAAACATATGAAGTTTGCTTCGATGGAAAGCTCATAATTTCGCAGACTCAAAAATTACAAGCTGTGAATATTAGTACCCAACAGGCCAGAGAATTGAAACCTGAAAAAACTACAGTTTCAGTGGGACAAGATATTGATTTACTTGTCATTTTATTTGGGTTCACACTATCTCATCAACAAGAAATTTTCTTCAAAAAAGTCGTACAAAGGGTACAAAAATGTACGCTTCCAAAAGTTTTTTGTTAAGTATGGTCATTCAAAAAAACACACTTGCTTTCTGCATGCATTGAGTGGCTGGGATATGACTTCTGCGCTTTATAAAAAAAAGGAAAACCGTTTTTTCGAAATCATTCGAGAATATTTCGAATTAGGATCAAATTGCAGCAGCATTTGAAGAAGAAAAATATCCGGTTCAAAGATCATTTGATAGTGGAATTCAAATCTTGTCGGCAGTCTATAATGCTCCAAAATCTGTGGACAGTATCGATCATCTTCGTTATGCACAATACGTCAAGTCTAAAAAACTGAATAAACCTTTGCACCAACACCAACAAGAGCAGCAGCCCACCAACATTTCAATCGAGTTCATTATCAAGTTCAAACTTGGTATGATTTGGAACCCCAGGAATGGGGTTGGACAATGAGTAACGGTCGGTAGCCAAGCGGTTCGGCGTGGGTGCTTTGTTCGTTCACTCGAATTGACTGCCGTGTTGGTCGGTGGTTCAAGCCCTAGTCTGAACGATCGATCTTCACTTGCTATCGTCCAACCCGTGTTAGGAATCACACGTTAAAAGGTAAGACCTCGTTAATCCTTAGCTCGCACAAGTTTCGACTTCTGAGGGTTTTCGTTCGTAGGGATGCGACAGCTGGTTAACGGAAAAACAGACAGACAGACAAACAGATTCTGGAACATATCACGACAATTTTCGTACCTACTCCAGAAGGATTGCTCAACATAATATTCTGCAACTGCAAGAGTGATTATGATTCGCGATGTGAATGCAGGAAATTGAGGTCACGATGATTTCTCCTTGTGGCCAATATAATTGGCAAGCTTGTCTCAATGCGATGACAATGAAAACAGAATCTTTGATCCCGAAAACATAGACCTGCAGACAAATGAAGAAGAGGACTTTGGAATATTACTGTGGTTGGGAGACGATGAAAAAGAAGAAGAAGATAATTAAAATTACGAGTTGTGGTTCTTATACTTCTCATTATTATTTTTTTATTTCCACAGTCATAAATGGAAATATTTAGTTGATATTTCTTGTGTTCTTCATTTACTTATTTAAGTAGATTCAGAATTTGTTTTCGTTATTTTCTCTATATACTTGAATATTTTGAAATACAATCAATTCACTGAATTTATTTCATAGAAGAGGAAAACCTCCTCACTCATAAGCGATTTTGGTGAAATTGGGAGCACGTGTGAATTGTTGTATTCATGCCACGTGTGTCTGCAATATGCTGTAATGCCCGTTGTTAGTAGTCTCACTGTGATTGGAAAGTGTATATAGATTATAACGACAAGGAGTCACATTGTATGCTGCATAATTACTCGTATCTAATCCTTCTAAAGAAGATTTCACGTATAGTCAGTGGGCATACTTGAAGACTGGCTATAAATCAAATCATCTAAAAGAACAATTCGTTCAGGCCAGTCTCAACACCCTACACAGTAGGTTAATGGACTGACACCTATCAGAAAACAACTACTCCCCTGGCTAATACCACGAAGGGCGTTGGATTATATCCGTATGCCCACTGACTATACGTGAAAGATTTTTTTCCTTTTACGAGGAATTGGGTAAATTTGGATATGCAGTTGTTTACCTCGTTCACAGGCAGATGGAGCGACGACAAACCTGTTGTTTGTTGTAGTCTTCAGCTTAGTTCGAGGAATGATACTCTGACGGAATTCGATTTTCAATTATCGGAAATCATCGACTTTATGTTGATGATATACACTACCTTGCACTGACGAGTGGCCAAACAGCCCGAAACCGGTCTGCAAGTGTGTTCCAATAATTGAAAATCTATTGCGGCAGTTGTATTGCCAACAGCATATGCAGGAATAACTTCTGTGAAGAATCCTGCACTGACACCTGTCGGATATAATCCAACGCCCTTCGTGGTATTAGCCAGGGGAGCAGTTGTTTTCTGATAGGTGTCAGTCCATTAACCTACTGTGTAGGGTGTTGAGACTGGCCTGAACGAATTGTTCCTTTAGATGATTTGTTCTAAAGAAGAGTCAATGATACATTCATTTTGCCTCTGAATCGTTCCGTTGAGTTTCCCACATTACAAAAATGTGGGAAACTTTTGGATTGATAGAGACTTTGTGCATTTCTTCTTTTCTTACACCTCGAGCACGTTGGTTTCTCATTTCCATCGAGAGTTTCCTCTCACGTGAAGGAATCCAAGCATTGTGACGAACTCAATTGGCCAGTTCTTTGAGGTATTGAAAGAGACAAATCCCAGTATGTATCGAACATTACTGATGAATGTCCACACTGTGTGCACTTTGTAAGTGATTTTAACTGACCACCGGAAATGTCTACAATCTTAGAGTTGTACATCCTAAAATAACCCATGAATCGAGAAGCATATCTTTAAATCCAAATTTTAAAATAGACTGTGTTCATTTCTCTATCAGATGAATTTTCTGAATACAATTCTTTGATATTATTTCAAATTGCATTAGAATTGAAATATAATTCGAGTTTTTCTTTTAACAACAATGAAATAGTTGATGAGAAATGTGAATTAGTGATGATTATGTTCAAAACATTTGAAAAAATACTTTCTATGTTTTTACCACTTTTATTTGTAACCAACGTTGCTGCAGTTTCATCCTATAAGGACATTTTCAAACTAATACAATAAACTCCTTTAAAAAGATGATCTCATACCTCGTAGTTCCGCCTACATCCATCAATTTATCAATAATCATGTATCAATAATCAATAAACTTTATACAGCGTGTTTTTGACCGGGACAACCGATTGACCTCAAATGATGCTCTAACCGCGTGCTCTCCGCCCTTTATTTGGAAAACGATTCAACGTATGAAAATGTCTGAAACAAATGTTGTAGGGAATTCAATTTTTTTCAATCTTCTACAGTATAAATAATCAATATAAATAGCGAAAAACCCATAGGAAACGAGGTATTTGCAATGTACAAAATATTTATTTTCCTTACCTTTAACCTGCCATATGTAAGTTTCTAGACAACTTTTAGGATGTCGAAATATAAGTTTATTCGAGTTTATAGCTGGGTATCTCAAATTCCGAGAAGAATTCACTAAGATGACTGAAGTAGGTATTTTCTTGACATAATGTATCATGCTGTTTGCTCTCATTGTATTGCTGAATAACAAAGTTTTCATTAAAAAATGGAAATTTTACGATGAAATTTCGAGTACTTGGGCTATTTAGTATCATTAAAATTATTTTTGAACTTCGAAACTTGATGTAAGAAAATTTCATTTGAAAACCAGTAGAATTTCAGAATCCTCATACCCGACTCTGTTCATTGTTTATTTGACTTTTTTCAGGGATCATAAATCTCTAACTGGTACTGCCCGTTACATGAGTATAAACACCCATCTAGGTCGTGAACAGTCCCGCAGAGATGATTTAGAGGCATTAGGGCACATGTTCATGTATTTTTTGAGAGGCTCCCTTCCCTGGCAAGGCCTGAAGGCGGATACATTGAAGGTAATTAAAACGTTGAAACGACGTTCACTGTTTTTATTTGTCATTTAAATTTTTCAACCACTGTCCTCATGGAGGTCAATTCCAAAAATGAGCAATGGACTAATTCATATATTTTATGGTGGTTTTCAAGTGGAGAATGAGAGACCCTGAAATTGCAAAGATGAAATGATAAACAGGTTTCAATATTCGTCATTTGAGGTTTGGAAAATGATAATAGATTTGAATCATGAAAATTACTGAAATAGAAAATAATAAGTCTAAAATGTTTGCAGAAGCCATAATATAATATTAATATCTGATATATAGAGAATAACAGAACAAAAAAAAATTAAAATACTGACAGATCACTCGTACACAAGAAATATTGTTGAGTCCAATGAAAATATATGAAGTAAGTGAAGGCCAATAGAAATTTAAAAATTTCAGTAACATGAGAAAAATCAACACAGCTGTTGTTTGCGATATTTATAATTGTCAAGAATAAATGTATTACTCAATGAAATAATTGAAAATATTCCAAAGTATGATAGTATCGTCATACTCTCATAGAATAACCACTTGCAAGAGTTTACTTTCATCAGTTTTTTTTTCAATATTCATGTTTTTGTTTTTGAAGTTGATAGTGTTGATGTTCATTTACATTTTTCTTTTGTCCCTTCATTAACGTGTACAGGGTGAGTCAACAAGATTCCCCCGGACCATTGCTAGCGGAGGAAACAATTTTTTGAACTGCTCAATTTTTTTTTGCAGTCATATCGATAAATACTATTTTTTTAAATTATTTTTGCGCATACTGGGTGATTCAAAGCGGTCAAGTTTCATTCATTTTCAAACAGACATAATTCAACAAATTATACCAAGATTTAGTAATTGTTGTAACCACAAAAAAATGTATTTTCTCAGGTACTTATTCAAATTTGTTTTTCGAATATTCAGACTAATCGCTAGTACATTAGCATTTTTCATACCATCTAGTGATAGTAATCAGTGGTTTCAACGGTAAAAACCCAGTTATCCATGACACATCAAAAAATGAATCTCGGAATTTGTCAATAACATCATGTGTCGAAGTCTCTTTCGCGGTAGATTGAGTCATTTTTCGGTATGAATTATGTATCGGAAGATATGGTGCAAATAGTTTATGCTTTGGAGGAAAGTGCATCTAGAATTTACAAAGAGAAGTTTCCCGAAAGAAGGCAACCAGATGGAAGGGCATTTCAGTTTTTAAAAACAAGATTTGATTTGGAAGAACTGGTAATGTCAATCAATAGAAGTTCGAATGTATCTGCCCTGTAACAAATGAAGAGAATACATTTCAAGTTGCTCTTCACCACGTTAAGAATCATCATGTGAGTACCCGAGACCTGAGCAGGAAATTAGGATTTTCTCAAATCACTTTTTAGAACGAGTTGAGCAGGCCTTGGCAGCAGCCATCATTATCTGTATCATAAAAGTCTTTTACAAACACAATATTATTCTGAATATGAAGAATAAGTCTCAGTTTCTCGCTATTTTCAATATAACCGATTTCAACTACCTATCCTGGCAATCAGATACTGAATTGTTTCACTGCTTGGAGTCATATCAGAAATCAGAACTCGTTACTCGCCCCAGGCCACATCAGAATCAAAACCCTGCCGAAAATCTACCCCCGTTGTTGTACCCGGACCTTCATATCTAACCAAGGAGAAGAAGAACCATCACAAATGGATCAGAATCACAATGTACAAAGATAGAGAGAAAACCAACTAACCTACTCACTTACAATTGAGAGTGATGTCACCTGTGTGAAAGCTATTTTCCGGGTTTTTGAACATTGTCTACATTTCGTCTACTCGTGCCCTAAGGCACAAATAAGGTCACCGTGTTAGGAATCACACGTTAAAAGGTAAGACCTCGTTAATCCTTAGCTCGCACAAGTTTCGACTTCTGAGGGTTTTCATTCGTAGGGGTGCGACAGCTGGTTAACGGAAAAACAGATTTTAAACAGATTTTAAACAGATTTTAAACTCACAACAGAAACCATGTAACGAAAACAAATCAATTAACGTTTTACTTACATACAACTACAATTCTAACATTCAATAGTTACTTGTTATTCAATTTGTTGGCAATTTATTATTCCACGTGCCTTGTTTTCGAAAAAGAATAACACATTTTTTTTGGCTCCCATAATCAATTATTATGCTCTGTATATTTGTAACACAAAGTGGGCACTCTCTGAATATACTCCTACTTGCTCACCTCCTCTCTCAGCTTATCTGTCCATTCAAATCAACTACTTTTCTATAGGAGCTCATTACTTGGCCAATTATTCATTCACGTCTACACCACTTTAAGTTTCCTGTTAGTGAAAACTATTACTATATATTATTATAACAACATTTTGTGATAATTTCAGGAACGATACCAAAGGATAGGAGAAACAAAAAGAACCACACCCATAGAAGTATTATGCGAAGGATATCCAGAAGAATGGGGAATTTACTTGAAATACGTGCGTAATTTAGAATTCACTGAGACTCCAGATTATGATTACTTGAGGAAATTGTTCAAAGATCTGTTCATCAAAAAAGGCTTCAATGACGATGGAATTTTCGATTGGACGGGTAGGCAGACAGTGGCTAGGGCTAGTTATGATTCCATAAATTGATTATCCTTTTCCCTAGTACAAAAAACCTCTACCATCTTGAAGGTGAATAGGAGTCATTGAACGTTTCTTTTTTATTATTTGAAGAAGAACATTTTTGAATATCGGAGGTTCACGGAGAAATGAACTGAGAGTTATCTCCATGAAGAGACAGAATAAATATTTTCTCATGTGATAAAAATATCAAAACGTTCATCATTGATGTTGATTGCAAAAGGCTCTATAGAGGACGAGGGCTTCATAAAAACACAAAACTATTCAATATTTCTTTACCATTTCATGGAGCCTCTTGTATAACCTTTGTGGTAAAACAATCGATTCCGAATTATTTTCGTTAGTATATTTATATAATACCTAAATCAAATAATTTATATATTCGTCTCCTAGATAGTTAAAACTTGAAATTAGCTGTGTAGTATCGTACATCTCCATTTTTTGTTTCACATTTATTCTGTCTTGTAAGTTTATTCAATTATTTATTATTGAATTTGAGTAGTTTAATGAAATTATTAAAAATACTTTTGTCTAATTTCCACTAGTTATTTTATTTGTACGACCGGTTTCGGGTTTTATCCCATTATCAAGTATAAAACCAATATGTGAAATCTGAAAACTAGGTTATATAGGAAATTTTTTGGTAAGCTAGGTAACCTATATAATATAATTTTCAGAATTTACGTGTTAGTTTTATACTTGATAACGGGGTAAAATCCGAAACCGGTCGTACAAATAAAATAACTAGTGGACATTAGACAGTGTTTTTATTCATTCGAATTTGAGTAGAATATATTACATCAATAGCTAGGATGAATCTGATGCTAGATTATAATAATAATAATAATAAAATAATGGTAATAATGGAATTTATTCGTCAATAATTAGACAAGGCATCATACATACACACGTGTATGAAACTTATTAGACGAGTCAAAAAAGGTTTCCAAAACACGAGCAAATGAATTGTTAATTCACTGTTCAGTCGCAAAACAAATCAAAAAAATTATACATACAATAGCCAGTTCCACAATATCGAGGTATCAGAATATGAATATATGAATAAAATTCTTCAAATATTTCTTCAACAAGGAAATTTCTCAATTCATTTTTGAATAGAATATCGTTCACATCTATTATATCTCTTATTTTATTGAAACATTTAATACCGATATGCTTTGGTGAATTTTCAGACTGATGATCTTGCATCTTGCACAGACTGTCGAAGTCTTTCTTCATAGTATTATACATATGAGTGTCATTCCTCATAAGTTCAGTTTGGTTTTTTAATGTACATAATCAGATCAAGGATATACAAACATGTAAGGGTTAGTATTTGGAGACTCCTGAATAGAGTTTTACATGTTGTAGTTGGATGATCGTGACACATTGTTCTTATTATCTTTTTTTGAGATAGAGGTGCTCTTTCAAAGTGACAAGAGGACCCCAGAAGATCACAACATATTGCAAAGTAGACTGAGCGATCTCAAAATATAGTAGTTTCAGGATGTCTGCTGATACAATATCTCGCAGATTTTTCATTAATTTTTTTCAAGGTCAAAACACAGGCACCACACCACCACAAAACGATAAGCAGACAGATAGTCCGTCTTATGTGTATCGCTCTTGGTGGAATCAAATGTGCCAAGTCACTTGAACACATCCCGTGAAAGTATCTATAGAAGAGAGACAAATATCCAACGTTTTTTCGATGTTCTAGACTATCGAGGTTGCAAGTGATATTCGTGCCTCCAAGCAGGTGAATGGCTCTTTTCTGGATAGAATCTAGCCGCTTCAGAGTGTGCTTAGGGACGGAGCTCCATACATGAGAACAGTACCCCAAGGAAGGTCTGATATGAGCTTTATAAAGCATCAACAGTTGCTGAGGTGGGTACAGTTTTCTGGTTCGTAACAATGTTCCAGGCTTTCGAAAAGCAGTCTTTGCAATTCCAGCGACATGATTGTGCCAAGATATTTCGGTGTCCATTTTAATCCCCACCGCGGAAGCGGAAAGCGGAATTGTCTTTGTGACATTTACCTTTTTAAAGAAAACCGGTTTCTGGGTTTTCGTGACATTGAATTGAACCTGGTTATTTTCACCCCGCCCCGATTCGAAATCATATCTAGATATCAAGATATGCATGTAGTGCTCAATTTCGAATATAGCGTGTTAATGTGTGATTACCAGATCAGCTTATGATCCAGAGTAACATCTGAAAACTTGATAGTTTTCATTGATTGTATAGATTTACCAGATGAGGTTGAGTATAAGTCATAACTTTGATTTATGTTTTTTAGCAGAAACCGGACATAGTTGGGTTTTTTCATTGATAATGAGGCCATTTTCTATTTCATGAAATGACTCATTACCTATTTCTGTTAATAAGTCAATGTTATTGTGTGACATCATTATATCAGTGTCATCAGGATATATTATCATTTGATTTAAAGAGGTACAGGTGTCATCAATGTCACTCAGAAAGGCTATATACAATAGTGGTCCCAAGATTCAACCCTGTGAAATACCTGTAATTATTATTCTTGGATGTGATTTCACATCTTTCACTACTATGTTGTGTTCTGTTTGTTAAGTAAGATGTTATCCATTGAAGCAGAATACCCCCAACTTCTAACCCTTTCATTTCCATAATTAACAAATTATGCACGGTCATAGAACAGTTCTAGAGCATTATTTCTATAATATGCGTAGGTACTGTAGATAAACTCTAGGCAATCAGAAATTGCCGAGCTGGTTGATTTGCACTTATGGAAATCATTCTAATTCGCTGGGATGCTAAAGTGTTCCGAGTACCTACTCCCAATAAAGCAGTTTTCATACCTATTGCATACGAAATTCAGATTAAACTTTAGGCAATTTGTGATTTTTTATTTTGAAAATGAAATTGTTTTCAAATACTTTTGATAAGCTGTCCAGATCCTCTCAACTATTAGATGGTGAGGTTTTGCAGTTAATGATGAAGGCAACTTTGCTAAATCTTGAAAAAATCCTATTCTTGAATTATTTTCGGAAATACGTTTCACTTCGTCTACATAAAAAAATGAAACTAAACTAGGATTGGTCAACATCCTTTATAAAAGTGGGAGCGAGAAAACATTGAGAATATAGTGAAGGTATGAAAAAAGTGTTAGTGAAAAAGATCTCCCTGAAGGACTTGGAGAGAGAATGAGTGGAAAGATTCCATCAATACAACCTGTTTTTTCTAACAAAGACGCTGGAAATTCTTAGATATTCTTGAGGATTGTTCGAGAAATTGCGAGTTCTGGAAACGTAATCTTTAATAATCGACTATGTGTACTTAATGTTTGCGACATATTATTATGTAATCATTATTAGTGATGCAAAACAGGATTTGCAGTTGGTTGTTAATAGAACAGAATGGCAAAAAGTCTATCTAGAATCGAATCAGATAGTGGTGGACGGTCAGTGAAAATAAGTGAATAATATTAAGTCGTAATACATTAATGATATTTCTCAATTATCCTTTATTTTTATAATGTGTGTTTCATTTCATCAATTGATGATTCATTTTAACAATTGATGATTCATTTATGAATTTCGAATGTTATACTTTCAAAAATTATATTCCCTTTTCCATTATTACAATAATTTCATTCACTCGCATTCAGTCAATCTCCCTTCCACCGTTCAACAACAACTCTGGTAATTACCACTCAAGAAGTTAACTTCACCTCTCACTATCTTAGGATTTTTTGAATGAACGCTTTAATAAGCTTTCATGAGAAATTAAATTACCTTGAATTGAATTTAATTGAAAATGAGTTATATCGGAAACTCCACTAAGTCGACATATAATGGCTCCAGGCGGTTTCAAAAATGAATGTCACATTCTCTACGTATTAATGAACATTATTGCTATTATCACGTGATGATTCATTATTTCAGAATATAACCGAATAAAAGATAATTGATGCAAATATATTCTACGAGAGATTATGTAAATTTTCAATTATATTTAGAACGATTGAAAATACCGATATTGAAATCGAATTGAAGTTATGACCAAATGTAAATTGTATACTTTGGATTTTTTCATGAATTATTCGTCGGCGTTGTTGAAAAACAAACACGGTGTTCTGAATAATTGATACTATTGCATGTATCCATTCTTTCTTCACTGACACTGGTAAAATCTTTTTCGGATCATACTTATGAATATAAATTAGCGATATAATTATGAAAAACTGAACATTACTTGGGTCAGGTGTATGTGAATTTTGTATTGAAAGGAATGTTAAGCTATCGATCTCCATCCCTATCGATCCCAAAAAACAAGCACTACAAGAAAAGTCTTGAGGCGCTCTAAGAGCGATGCCTTTGCGAAAATAGCGATTCACATTGGATTTGAAACGCTGGAGATTGAATTCATTTGAAAAAAGTTCTCAGGAAGTTCATTCCACATAAACGCAGTGAAGTTCGAGGTGTAATGAGTTGATCCTAGAAACGATGAGCAGCCAAAGTTCGTCATGTATTTATGATATGTACCGTTCTTGGTGGAATCAAATGTTCCAAGTCAGTTGAACACTTCCCGTGAAAGTATCTATAGAAGAGGGACAAATCTCCAACTTTTCTTTGATGATCCAGACTATCAAGGTTACAAGTGATGTTCTCGTCTCCAATCAGGTGGATGGGTGTTTTCTGGATGGAATCCAGCAACTACAGTACATGTCCCTAAGCTTCAGTGTATGCCCCTAAGCATACATAATTCTGGATTTTGATATAATCTATTGGTATAATATTGCCTTACCAGTTAAATACGACAGACTTATAATTTTATAAGTAACTCTGTGGTGGTCTTTTCACCTTCTATGTAACTATGTCAAAGCTATTTTCCGGATTTCTTGACTCTGATCTGCAGGTTTTATACCTGACGTTTCGTCTAGGACTGACGTAGATATTGTCAGAGGTGACAAGGTGATGAACGAAATTTCTGATCACTCTAGAAAAAAAAAAAAAAAAGAAATTACAATAAAGAGTTATAAGCGAAAGAAAGTCAAAAAAGTCTTTCGAAAATAATGAATCAACTATCAGGAAACAATCACAGTATCGAAAAAAAAATCTATCAAAATGAATGGAAAAAAATCGAAGATTCTGAAGATTTTTTTGAAAAAGTAAACTCAAATTTTATCAGCATTGAAGAATAATGATCAAAAAAATTCTATTGAAGGATTTTGAAAAAAAGTTTGCTATTTATCGACAATAACAAAAAATAATTGGCACTCCGGGGCGACTTCGTTGATTCCATTGGCGCATTTGCTTTTTCAAGTGCAGGAGAACCCGAAAAAACCTGCAGCACCACATAATCTGAAGATCTTGATCTGCCAATTTCCTCTCTCTTCTAAAACAAAATATAGGGTGTATTCAGAGGCTGCACTAAGTTCACTGCTTCGCCAGAACACTTAGCGACACGACTATCGTCGAACATAAACCAGTACGTTTTGTCTTTTATCAAGGCGTAATAATGACCAGATTCAACGCCAGAACCGCAGTGAATAATGACTGCATGAAGATTGTAATAGTGGTCTGCTAGATTGAAGTGTTCATCTATTCTGAACCTTCGTAAGAGTTGGTGCTTCCGTCACAGGTTGAGTCATCTTTGAAGATCATCAATGTTGTTATTAGAGTCACTGGTGCCTCGGCTATACTTGTTTTATTATTATAGTCAGTTAATTTGTCGCATATTTGGCAATACAGTCGATCATCACCTGTTAAAAGATCCATTTTCAGATGATTTAACAATAAGCTTTCCACGGACTGGTTATTAGTCAAAATAAACAAGTGAGGATTTTTCCAGCAGAAGATTTACAAAGACGAGACAGACTGTACAGGATCATTCAATCCAGAGTATGCAGGAGTATTGATTCTGCTATTAGTTTGCTCACGAAGAGTATTCAACAAGATCCCCAAGAATTCGGAACAATCCTCTTGTTGTCCTAACGAGTATCTAGTAGATTTCAAAGACTCCGGTTGGAGAGAAAGATGATACATTTTTACGAAACTGCAGCTGCATAAACAGGTGATTGAGTTTGGCAAATAGGTAGGAAACATTCTCGTTCTCGTTCATCATTGAACCTCGTTCTTGAAATTCTTCGTCATGAACAACACTCGTAAAATGCTATTCATGTATCAGTTGTTTCCTAAATTATCTTATTACCTAGTGATCATATTCAAGAAAAAGATTAAACTAGAGGAGAACTTATAGGTTTCTGCATTCAACATACTAGATAATGGAATATATTCAATATGTAATTAGTGGAAGCAAGAATGTCGAATGTTTTTTGATTTTGGTGAATTTGCACCTTTTGAATAAAGTCGTATTTCTACTATTGCATAATTACTTTCCAGGATGGAGGAATTGGGTAGGTGTCCAGAGTAAACAGAACTGAATGAAAAGAAAAAACATAGCAGGCTCTATAAAAATATTGAATTTATTATTTTTTTTATTAACTTTTCACAAATTTCATTATTATTTATCCAAATGATCTCAAATGGTTGTTTGTTATTCTGAAAATGTTACTTTCAATAATGAAGTCGACCCGCGGTGCATATATTAGAAGTATAATTGTTATATTTACAGCACTATAATTTTGAAATGTTGATAAATACATATACATATTTCGATTTTAGGAAAAACTCGTCACTCATCTCTCGCCACACAGGAAGTTTAGCGCATGCAATATATCGGTTATTCAACCAGCTATTGAATCAGGACACTCCGTTTTATTGAACTTTGAATGTAGGATGATGATAATGAGAAAAATGCTGTTCCCGTTTCTATTCCATTCTGAAATGCCTATTCTTTCATTTGTTAAGTGTAGATTTCCCAGATAATTAAAGTTATTGATAAAACAAACTTTTTCGTCCATTTACTAATTACAATAAGAAAAACTATTGTGTATATGTGAGTTAGGAACAAATACAGGGCTCCATTAGTTCTGTCATTATTTTATTCACATACTGAATTGCTGTACTCTGCAATTGCTGTACTCTGCTTTAGCAATATTTTCACAAGTGTTGTTAACTTCCCCTGTCAATAGAAGAACTATATGAATTTCTTGTAGGAATAGGAATACAATCCAATAAGGTATATTCAGCGTCAGTGTCACTACTGTTGTTTTTGGAACCTGCTGAGCCGTTATGGAAAAACTAGTAATATTTCTGTATCTCAGAGGATGATCAAAGTCAAAAATGAAAATGAAATATCAATGAATAACAATCTCAAACGCCTTATATTTTTTGGGAATCTATATTGTCTCGACCATTGCCACCCAGCCTCCCAATATTCTCTGTTACGATCTAACAAACGATTGTGTGGAGGAAGGCTTAAGAATACAGGTACACTCAATATGAATCAAGGAACTAATATATAATGGAGTTGGGGAAAAAGAAATGTATGAGGCAAATTTTGCTCTGAGAAAATGATCTAATGGTGTGAAAATCATTGACAACATAGGAAAGAAGAGCGGTGGAAAATGATGCACAGATGATCAGAGCTTCAAAACATATTCCGCACTATTGTAGAAAGGAAACAGACTCAAAAGTCCCAAGTCTGGACAATGATTGTTCAAAAACTGTTAACCAACATACAAGAGCACATTTCATTTTACCCGTCAAGAGGAGTACTTCGACCACGCCAGTGAAGATGACTGTCGCAGTTGCAGTCTATTATAACCAAAGAAAACCACGGTAAAACCTGGAAACCATCCATGAAATGTGAAAAACTCACCCAATATCAAAAACTCCTACTGGAATTACGTATTAGAGTACGTAAGATAGAGTTCAATATTTATTATTCAGGAATTTATGGCCTCATGGAAGACCTTTGTCTCTTGAAAATATGGAAGATCTGAAAAAATGTGTAACTGATTCCCAAATATGTTCAGCAGTTCTATGAATTTGTATCATCAAAAAACGCAAAATTTCAGGATCATGTAGATGGTTTCGGTGCTACCATTGAACTTGACTCAGATATAAGTTTGGAAGGCACCAACTCACTACACGAGTTCGAACAGGCAACTCAGAGAAGTGCCAATGACAACAATAACTCATCATTGCATGCATCAATCCATATATCCTAGGAGTAGACTCGGAAAAGTATTCATCGTGATAGAGCTCTATTATCGGCTTTTAGGGCTATCTTCTAACACCTGCAGTGGTAGAAGATAGTAGAAGTAGTAACTCATCATTGCATACCTGCATCCATATATCCTATGAGTAGACTCGGAAAAGTGTTCATCGTGATAGAGCTGTATTATCGGCTTTTAGGGCTATCTTCTACCACCTGCAGATCAGTTCATGAGACAATAACTTCGTTGTTAACACTATTGAGAATTTAATGTTAAGATTTTTTTTTTGACTTTCTTACTGGCACTTTCATCAGGATAAGATAATGGTGAAACGTATTCGTAATGATATCGTCGCGATTGAAACACTCATTATGGTTATTTGGTATATCAATTATTGGTATTGGTCAAACGGGCCCTCATCGATGAATTGATGTAGAAAAGAAGTTAAGCTCAAAAGATAGTTATTTGTTCGACTATGCAGAGAAGTAACAGATTTACTGCCTAGGCTAGCACTTTATTGGCGAGGCAAGGAAACTAGCCAAGTAAAAACATCTTTTATTACTCTTCCTGACACAAAGACAAAAAAATGCGCTCATTTATTGTAGTGGAACATTAAACCTGCTACAGAAAATATGAAGATTGTAGACCAATAGGCTGGTTAGCAATTTTTATTTTCAAATACACCGATGGTGAACCATACAAACAACGGTCTTGTATTCTTGAATTTATAAAAATGTCAGAAGAAATGGAGAAATTTCAAAAATTTACGAAACCCACAAGAATTTATTGGACATTGTATTCACAGAAGCTCTGCTACATTAATAGGTTGGAAATCATCAACAATAGCTTGAGATTGTATTGAAGAATCTATAGCGTGAAAATCAAATATTAGTTACCGATTGCAACTGGCATAACATATTTTAAAGCCAGAGGAGTAATGTTGGAAAATTGTTGGCACATTGTTATAAATATCCACAACAGTCATCAATATTGAAGAATTTCATCAACTTACTACATTTTTGTTACAGTCTGTGTTATGTTTTGATTCAACTTTTATTAGAGTAGAAATTATAATGAAATACAGAAATATATTCACAGTCATTTTGTTTTGTAGTTAATTCATTGGATTATTTTTTGGTCGGGTGCTTATGCAGCTATTGTATAGCGAAGCACGTGTGACGATTTTTTTGAACTGTTCCGTGAATATCTATCAATATAGTTTTACTTGAATATTATACTATTCTTTCTCAAATAATTTTTGGATAGTATAAAATTCGTAATGAAATCGTCCTACACTTGATGGGAATCCAGAACGTTTTCAAGAAACACTTGTGAGATTTTCACTAAACAGCTTTACAGAAACGCAATACTTGTTTCGCAGTACAATATCCTCCTCAGGCGTCTCAGGAGTGAAGGCGAGCTTCTTCAGGCGTTTCGGTAGTAAAGATACGCCTGAAGAAGATATTGTATAGCAAAACACGTGTTGCGTTTTTGTAAAAGTGTTCAATGAGAATCCCACAATGAATTATTTCTTGAATAGATCGGAATTTGTGAAGTTGCGCACAATATGACCAACAAAGGTCATCAAACAATTACATTCAACCCAGTTATAGCAATGATTTTTTCAGATAGAGTATCGTGGTTGAATGCTGATGAAAGACAAGAGCAACATAAAACTAAGACTTGAACTAGAAGAAACCATTTTCTCGATTATAAATACCAAGTAACTGATGTTTTGAGATTTTGGTGTATTATTGAAAAAAATGTTACATTATGCGATAAGTAGGTATTCTGTGTCTATGTATATAATAAAATATTTCCACCAATTCGACCATCATTTTGTGTCTGAAGGTGCATCTGTTAATATCACCAAATATAATTCAGTTTATATCAAAAAGAAAACGGAATAGGGCAAAAGCGACGTGAATAAATTCCCCCTCTCAAATTTCGAAGGACAAAAGGTGACGATTAGGCAAAATGTACGTTAAAAGATATCATTCTTAGTAATGCATCAGTCGTCTCCGTGAGGGCGCTGCTAACGGTTTCTCTCAAATGAAAAAGAGTGTACTTCGTTTGATAGGTATTTCAATTATCTATTCAACATTTTTGCATTTTTGTAAATCAACTCAGCCGATCCTGAGTAATTAGCAATTGTATATTCTTTTCAAAGATCAGCAAACAAACGATAAATATCAACAATGAAAACTCACTTCAGTTCATATATTCTCAAAATTTTCATTATCCACTTTCTCGCAATGATGGAGTTTGTATATAAATTCAGTTCGGTTATGAAATGTGTTTCTGGGGTAACTTCGTTAGGTAAACCTTCTATTATAATTAAGCGCTTTGAAAAGATTGCAGTTGTTCAACATATACTTTATATCAGGTAACCTAGCACCGGGTTGAATAATTGTCATTTAGCCTCTTTTGAATCAACATCACCTTGCTAAAACGTAACATCAGTTTGAGAACTCATTTGAGTTTGTCAATCATCCAAACCGGTAGACAAGCAGACGTGGTCTTCTAAAAGGGCATTTTAGATCACCTGATATGATGCCTGTCGATGTTTTTGAGGAGATACATGACATCTGTAGTGTATGATAAACAACTGCAGTTCATTTTCAGATAGGCAAAATTGTTAAATACGACAAGTTACTGATGCATAGAAGATTTTTCTTTGTGAAAAATACTTTGATTTTTACGCAGTAACTTATCGGGGTAAACTAAAAAGTTTGCCCTTCTACACTTGTATAAAGTTCTCCATTATAATTTTGATATTTTTTCAGATTGTGGAAGGTAACAATCACCCAAAAAAGGTCGATAAAAAACTGATTTTTTCCTCCACAAAAAATGACTTTCGTTGAATAGTTATCTGTGATGCGACAATGGAATCTATGTTCAACAATATAAATAGCCTGCATGATGGATGACGATATCTCCAGTTTACACACTGATTTCTGAAGTCCATCATAAAATCAACATGATTTGCTTCTGTTGAGTTGAGTACCAGTGTCAGTGCTAGAGATTATATACCTATATTTGAGCAAATGCTATTACTTTTTTTCTATTTCTAGATTCAGAAATCACGACGTGAATGATCCATAAAATTTTTCGAAGTGAAGGAAATTTGAAATATAGGAGTTCAACTGCATTTAATAATAATAATAATAATAATAAGTTTATTGCCCATCAAAACACAAGATAATAACAAAAAACAAAATACAAGAATCAAGAACAAAAAGTAATTGATATTGATGCACTATACCTACAGTGCATTTCTTTAAAGTCCCTCCCCCTTTCATTTTTTGAACAGGTCAACTCAAAAAACTGAAATTTGAGATAGGTAATGAAATCAATGCATGAATGCTTTATTTTGAAGTGAAATTGGGAGATGAAACTCTCAAGATAGCGACTGGGCGCCATATGGCAAAAAATTGAATAGAAAGGGGGCTCTTGTGACACTTCATGTTCACAAACCTAGAATATAATGTCGATATCTTCAACCACTACAAAATGGCGTAACTTTCAATAATTGCCTGAATACATTGACATTTAACTAGATAATATGGGGTAATAAGCTTGAGGTCAGTTCAGAAGATGCTCCAAATGGTTGCCTTGAACTTCTTGACATATGAACAGCCTATCCGATATTTTACGTCGAACATTTTCGAACACACTAACGTCAAATATCTCTACAAATATTTATTATTCTCTGCCGTATATCCAATATTAAATCAGGTTCAGTTTCGTACACCTTTTGCTTCAAATACCCCCATAAAAAATCCAAAAGTGTCAAATCTGGCGAGCGGGCTGTCCATTCTGTAGTATTTCGACGGCCAATCCAACGACCGGGAAAAGTAGTATCCAAATAGTTTCTTACTTGTCTGGAGAAATGTGTTGATGCTCCATCTTGTTGGAATACAGTATCCATATCGAATTAATCAGGATTCGCTTCGATGATTTCAGTAGTTTCTAGCATATTCAAATAAATAGAGGTCCTACAATATGGTTTCTCAATATTCCCGCCCAAACGTTAATTTTTTCTGGATATTGTGTATGTGTTTTCCGGAAAACGACATTGCTGTCGAGAAAAATGTACGTTCGTCACTGAAACAAATATTGTGGAGATAGGTAGGATACCTTGCAATGGTTTCCGTCATGATTTCGCAGAATTCTGTTCTTTGATTAGGGTTATCTTCAGTTAATTGGTGTACTACTTTAATTTTGTATGGATGATACCAATTCCTCTGCAAAAGTCTCCACACAGTAGAAGGAGACACCGCACAAACATTCGCGACGGAATGAGTAGACTGTTCAGGAAACTAGCATCTCACCAATTATTTGCACTTGCTATTCTTCCGGAATGGACGGATAACCTGGGGGCTTTTTGTTATGTAGACTACTGGTAGTTGTGAATTTGGATATAAGTTTCCTCAAATAATTTCTACAGATAGGACGATTCGAAAAACGTTTATTGAAAATCCTTTCGATTTCGTGGAAGTTACGCATTGCACAGTAAATAAAAATCGCTTTAATTTTTTTCTTCCAATGGACGAGAATTGACCATTTTAGAGATTTCTACTAGTGAAACCGAAAACTAAATGAGAATATTCTAACTAAACAATGATGTTCAAGGTCATACTGACATTTTTTGTCGTTTTCATAAACAAAAAAATAACTTGAAAAATCTTATCTGGTTGTTGGGATTGCTATATGGCAGATAAAAAGGAATATTTCTAGAAATATCGATATTAATGTGTTTGTTTTCAAGAATTATTAAATGTTCCGCCATTTTGTAGTAGGTGAAGATATTGACTCCATATTCTAGTGTTATGAAGTATGCGTCAGAATACTTCACAACCCTTTCCCCCTTTCCATTCACTTTTCTTTTCTATTCGCCATCTTGGAATTTCATCTGTCAATTTCACTTCAAAATAAAGTATTCACGGATTGATTTCTTCATTCCAAATTTCAGTTTTTTAAGTTGACCCATTCAAAAAATGAAATGGGGGGAATATTAAAGAAATGCACTGTATACTGAAGTGGACTTAGGTGCTCTAGTGGAAAATTCTATGTGATTGTTCCTATTTCCCCAAAAAACCGAATAAACATTTTCATTATTGATATTTTTATTCAGTGTATTCATTTAAGCAAGTTTTTAATGACAATAATCACTTACTGTTTGCCTAGTCTTATGTGAATAGTTTGCAGCTTCAATCAACGAACTTTTCCAAATTCAATATAACTAGGAAAACTTCTGAAAGAATTGTCTTCATATTTTATCACAAAGAAAACACACTGGATGAATAGTTTCATTTACGCGCTAGTTGCTGATTTGATAGTCGACAAATACTTTTCAATTTTCTTTTTTACCTACCTAGTTTACGGAATCAATTACTTGACATGCTGGACCGAATTCGGGAATAAGTGATTCATCAATATCCAAACTACTATGAAAATTCATACTCACGTTATTTTTGTTTTGTTATTTTCTTTGTGTTTATTTCAATTTTTTTCTTCAACCTTCTCACTTTCGATAAAGTCGAGAATGACAAGAATTCACCGAATGATGAAATAAAAACACGCACACTTAATTTTTTTCCAAATTTCCTTTCGAAATTGTGAACTTTAGCCTCTTCTGTACCACTTCTGATGTGAACTTCAGAAAGAGAAATAATACATTGAACTTTCACTTTGACACCCTTATATTTTGATGAAATTCCAAACAGCAATTTACTCATGCAGTACATTTAACAAACAATATTGAATGAATGATCATTGCCAATTTCAAATGGCTACCGCTAATACCTTACATAACTTTTGACTACTCAAACTATCAAAGAAAAAAATTTGTCAATGAATTTCTCTCCACAGCCATCATTTGTCTCCATCGATGCATTCCACAATAATGCCAGTTCATAATTGTATTTGTTTAAAATCTGTTTAAAATCTGTTTTTCCGTTAACCAGATGTCGCACCCCTACGAACGACCACCCTCAGAAGTCAAAACTTGTGCGAGCTAAGGATTAACGAGGTCTTACCTTTTAACGTGTGATTCCTAACACGGGTTGGACGATAGCAAAGATCGATCGTTCAGACTAGGGTTCGAACCACCGACCAACACGGCAGTCAATTCGAGTGAGTGAACAAAGCACCCACGCCGAACCGCTTGGCTACCGACCGACCAAAACCCATCCGATGAATTATATTCTCCAAAGTCTGAATAGTTCACACTTGGGAATTCTGATACACAGGAGCGGTAAAATACTGTTATTTTTCAGTCCGTTTACTATTTCATCTTTGTATTGAAAAATTAATGAATATGGTTTTCAAGTACCTTGTTACACCTCAGCCGAGCAATAATTCAATCATTTATTTCAAGATTTGATACTGATCCAGTGTCTCTTGTATAACGTCCTATATTATGTGTATAGGACGAATAGAAATCGCAAATAATTAATTCATAACTGTTCCCGGCGTTGTTGTTCGAATTGTTTCCAAAGTGTAGAATTACTCTGAAAACGTCATTATCATCAATTATGGATGGTATTTAATTTAATATGATCTCATTAATATCAGAGCCAAATCCTGGTTTCACTGGTATCAGACCGTGACGTGTTTGATACGATGAATTCTGATAAGCAATATATGCAATGAAATCGACATGCCAATACTGTTATGAATTCCACTTCAACTGATTTGAATGTTCGGAATCCTTTTATCTGAAGGAATTAACAGTTTTGGAACTCAACAGAGTGAATAATCAAAATGAATCATGAAAATAACAATTTATGAAAAATGAGAATAAAAACTTCCACTTCACACT